GATATTAGTAATGCTATTCAGAAGCTAATGTGGATATGGCAAGTGAGTCATAATACTTATGTCATTAGGAACTAGCCTAAAAGAAAAAAGATTCTAACATTAAAAAATCCAAAAAATAGGGATGCCTGGGTGGCTCAGTCGATTAAGTGTCCAACTCTTGATCTCAGTTCAGGTCTTGATGTCAGGGTCATGAGTTCAAGTCCCACACTGGGCTACACGCTGGGCATGGAGCCTACTTAAAACAAAACAAAACAGAACAAACAAAAAGGTAAAAAAAGACACTTAGAACTAAATTCGGACTGGAATTATTAATACGAACTCATGATGTATTTTCTCTTAGGCAATAGGAACCAATTTTCTAGTGATATCAACTGAAAATACCTTGAGGAAATAACACCCTGAGGAAGTGAACACCCTGAACACCAACTGTGGTCCCTTAGTCCCATTTCCCACCAAAGAAGACAGGGCTCCTGGAGGAATGGCTGATTCTAGGACTGAGAAGAAAACAGGCCAGAGGAGACGAGCCAGGAACATCTTGTCAGACCAGAAAGCAAGGAAGCTTCTAAAAACAGACAGGGTCACGTCAAAGGACTTGGGAGCAAACCCTAAGAGTCATCAATGGGCCAAAGATGTGACAGGTGAGCAGTAAAAGAAAACAAAATAAAAAACAGTATTTTGATATCAAAATCAAAATCTGTGCATTCATAATAGTACTAAAACACACCCTGCTCGTTCTGTTGAAAACCAGCAAATAAAGAATCCAACATTTATCCTATGTCCCTCATATAATTACCAGGTTAGAAAGAGAGGATGAGGAAAAGTTCTGCTTTGTAGATGAACTCCAACTAATTATCCACAAGACAGATTTAGACAACCATCCACACAGGCTGCAAAACTGCGAGGAGCGAAACTGATAAGGAACCTGACAACGAGTGGGTAGTACCTGGGTCCACTGTGTGATTTCACATCACCAGAAGAGAAACCCATCACCACTGCCCGTGGACAAGAATGAAAAGCACCTATGAAGGTATCTTGCCAAAAACTCAAACCCAATATGACCATGCATACAATGGAACTTTCTGTGATGATGGAATATTCTATATCTGTGCCATCCATGTGAGTTCCAGCAGCTGAAACGTAGCTAGTGTGACTGAGGCACTGTGTATGTTTTAACTTCAATTGTAATTCATTTTAATGTAACATCCATCTGTGACTCGTGGCTATCATACTGGACAGGCAAGGATCTAGAGCTAATGAACAGTTTGTAGGAAATCAAGGTCAGAGGGACACGTCAACCAATACTATGGTGATGTGGGTCTGCAAAAATCACCATTCAGGAGGGGGGTAACTTAAACTACAGGACAAACACCTGGTGTTGTCAACAAATAAATCATGACAGCCATGAAAAGGACGGGGCGTCCATCAGCAAGTGAATGGACAAACAGAATGTAGTTATGTCTGAACAATGGAATATTACTCGGCCATAAAAAGGAAGGAAGCACTGACACACACTACAACGTGGAAGAACCTTGAAAACACCATGCTAAGTGAAAGAGGCCAGACACAGGTCCACACACATAGTGTGTGATTCCATTTATATGAAATGTCCAGAACAGGCAAATCCATAGGAACAGAAAACAGACCAGTGGTTGTAGGGGCGGGGGAAGGGGGATGGACAGTGACTGCTAATGAGTACAGGGTCTCCTTTGGGGGTAATGAAATGTTCTACAATTAGACAGTGGTGATGGTTACACAACTTTATGAATATACTTGAAATCACTAAATCGTACACTTTACTATTTATTTATTTATTTATTTATTTATTTATTTATTTATTTTTAAAGATTTATTTATTTAAGTAATCTCTACACCCAACGTGGGGCTCAAACTCACAACCCTGAGATCAAGAGTTGCATGGTCCTCCAACTGAACCAGCCAGGTGCCCCTAAATTGTACACTTAAAATGGGTGGATATCATGGTATGTAAGTAACAGATCAATTTAAAAAGTACTATTTGGGAGCGCCTGATTGGCTCAGTTGGTCAAGCATCTGACTCCTGATTTCGGCTCCTTATTTCTGTGAGATCGAGCTCCACCTTGGGCTCTGCGCTGATAGTACAGAGCCTGCTTGGGACTCTCTTCTCTCTCTGCCCTTCCCCCAGCTTGCGCTCTTTCTCTCTCACAAAATAATAAACATTAAAAAAAAAAAAAAGTACTGTTTAAAAACAAAAGCAAATGAAACCCGGCACAGGCAAAGGCTGAAAGCCAGAGGATTGTATCAACAGCTGGATGACCCAGCAACCCTGGGCAATATCTTTTCCTCTGCGAGACTAGTGGTAAATCACGGAGTCAAGTAAGACAGAACCCTAAGTAAAAACAGATTATGATCTCAACAAGGAGGTCTTTGGGGTACAAGTGGTTTAACACCTAATATTAACCACCCTCTCGTTTTAACAAAGGGGGAAACAGGCCTCAGGCCCAGAGCCCACCTG